AACAAGCTCATCACGACGGTGGGGCACCGCAGCTTTCCGTTTATGTGCACCTGCAACTTGTGTGATGAAATTAATTGGATATACCACTGAAAGTTAAGGAATACCGCTTTCAGAAGAAAAGGACGAGCTCAGGTGAGTATGTGGAGCATTGTTGCAGTCTTCCGAAGCTTCGGTCCTAAAATCATCCGTCTGGGCTTTTTCCACACACTATAGGTAAAGGAAACAACACGTAATATGATGTATCTGCTAGACGCTACAATTGGTGAGGCTATTTCTGTACTCGGCCTGCGGCATGTTCATGAAACAGAACCGCCGAAGCAGTTACTGTCGTGCTCTACATTATCCCGTGACCGTCACCTTCGACGCTACCTTGAAAACGTGAGGCACCGTTGTCTCTAGCACTTTCATCTCCTATTCATTACTCCACACTATTTATCAGCAGTAGGGCAGTCCCGCACAAGGTTCTGGCCTGCTGAGCCGCCACTTGAGCCAAAAGCTCCGGCAGCCACTAAAATCTTGTACGTCGAATACGGAAATAGCCTTATTCTGAACAAATTAGGGAAACATGCTAACGTATACCTTGGACGCTGGGATGTTCCCACGTCGGAGTGGCTGCCTTTGGCATCAACACCGTAATCGATCAACATTGGTTGTTCACATGAAGCGGGTGGTTGTGCAGGAGGCATCGTTTGATCAGTAGTCAGGTAAGAAATCGTACTGTCAGCAGGCATGCCCTGAAATACAGAAGCATTTGCTAGCAAAATCGACCTTTATTCAAGAATTGCACACAGCCTACAAATAAACACATTCCATTTGACTTTTTAACGCTGAATTTTTCTCTATCTGTTTACTTGGGATTACCTCCTAAATTACCCATGTGGGTAACCTCAAGTTACTACCCAGCAAACAAGTAATTTATGCCTTGTATACTTCCCTCAACCCATTAAGGACTGTCGTTATGCATGAAGCTTCATAGAATTTTGTCGCTTGTTTCATGAGCAACCAAAAATCTATCAATAATTTTATCAACAATAAAATACGGGATCCTTTTCCAAGTTTGAAAATCGAGAATAAATAAAAGTGAACGATATGCTCTATGCAGAAGCGTGGTGCACAAGGAGCAGCACACGGTACGGAATGGGTTAAAAACAGTCGAACATTGGAAGTCAAAACAGCGATTTCCATTTCAGAACAATTTACACAGATTGACCGATATACCAGTAGGCGGCGTCTACACTGCATGCTTGGCCAACAAAGAGAAAATAGGAAAAAATCTCCGGACTTTCAAGATCAATATACCTGATCAGAAGAAACCGCAGATGTTTGCGAAAGCATTTGTACAGGAGTATACGATGAGGAATTTGGCATTATGTAAGATGAGGCATCTGGCTAAAAGGAAAGTTTAGAGATAAGGGAATAAGGTTCATAAAAATATAGCCGCAAATATTACCTGCGACTGGTAGTCAAAAGTATAATCATGTTGGAGAGACTGTAGCGGTTGGGTAACGGGACGTGTTGTAATTGAGCAAACCGTTTGATCACCACTCTGAGGCGCACTGAAACAAGTTCTCTGAAATTGAGTGAGGCCAACACGCTAACTAAAAAAACATATTAGGTGCTCTGGATCATTTCTTGACGACAACCATACATTTTAAAATGGCTTCTCAAAGGCAATGTCAATATCTCAATCCTACAGCTATACAGAAGAAAACCTCCACTAGCGCGATATGATTACCGCAGAGTGGACAAGAGAGGGCCTTAAAGAACACCACGAGATTATGTGTTGAGAAAAGACAAACTTACCAATAGGTTGTCACAAACTGCTGTGATTTCTGCGGGTCAGAGACACGATGGGAGGGTTGAGATACACGTGAGGACGGCTGCTTGCTGAATACTCGCTTGCCGTACAGCTTCATCTGGTTATCACTTAAGAAGGGAATCAAAGTTGGGCGTAAAGGTCATTTATCTAATTTATGTCCTACATGGTAAAACTTGTTTGTGTTATGACTTGCTGAGACGACCGACTATATAAGTACTGTGGTCGGTAGAATAGTTCAGTTTCGTTCGGTTCAGATTGTCTAGAGTTTTCTTCAATTAAAGGAGGAACATCGCGATTAAGAAATGAAAGTCGCGGAAAGAAGGAAAACTGACCTAGCTGAGGGAACCACGGACCTCTGAGGGTGCGAACTGACGCGCAATTCGCATGGAAAAATTTGACCTCGGCGACCTATCATGCCTCAAAGCTGGGGTCCGGCGATCTCCGCCCACCGATCATCTGATCACTCGCCGTAGTTCAATACGTGGCGAGTGATTAGATAGCTGAGAGAGCGTAGTGTTGAAGAGGGCACAGCGATGAGAGTCGCATCAATGCTCGAATCAACGGGCAAGGAAGGGGTACCATTTCTCGGGTTCTGGGCCGTTTCTCATGGTTCTTCCTTCTTTCGTGTACCACTCACCATCCCTAGGTTAATTTGAAATGGGTTGCTTTATCAATCGTGAAATTCGTCCTTTAAACTTCGTCTGTTTACGCTATTTCGGACAAAGCATACAGTGGCAAGGAGAGACACTACAATTTACTTTGCCGAAAGTAGACAGCGACATTCTTGAATGGAAAGGATTCATCGCTGCTCAAAATGACAACATTTACATACATATAGAATTCTGTATTATGACCCGGCAGAATCACCCTTGAAATGCTCTCAAAGAGTGGAAGAAATTATACACCTTGTTCTTAGCAGTAGTACAAGAAAAGTATTCAAGTATTCATAAAAGATCGCACAAAAAACCAATATTGATAGAAACTGTTTATTACCTCACAGTACGTCCTCTTACAGCGGTCATTGTCGAAAACTCATTTGTGAGATCTCGCAAACGGATTCCAAAATCGACAAGTTCTGGAGAAACATCGAAACGGCCAACCAATCTCACGGCCAACCACAGCAAAAGCCTAATAAATGATATCATCTTCAGAAAAAGGTAAAGCAGAAAAAAAAGGAACTACAACTTGTAAGCACTAAAGTGAATCAAACCATACATTGACAATCTGTTCGAGATTCTTGTCATGTAATTGAGTGTCGAGTTGACGTTGAAATAAAGAACGTCACCGGCACCCGGTGTTTTTTCCCTTTGGCTTTTCGTATAGCGATGACGTTTGTGCCGTGCACGTAAGCGACGGTGCCTCATTGCAAAAAGAGCGCAACGTCTCATGGTACTGTACATTGTAATCCATAAAAATCTCAGAACTGAAGTATGTGGGAATCCCAGATCAGTAACTACAAAATGAAAACGCAACGTTCAACCTCTCAAGTATCCTTGGCGACCTTTTTTTTTACCATCCTATACAGCTACTGACTAATTGATGGTCTTTTTAATCGCAGGACACTATGCAGATGGAAAAAACACTCAGTGTTACTGAGGATTTTTGGCTCTTGAGAAGCCCATCTGCATGGCTCGACCTCTATGCCAAATCACTCCCAGCGCACATTTGAAATGCGGCCTGACCCGTATGCTAATCACTTGCCAGAACCTGGCATATGCAGATTTGCTTGAGTGTCCACCCATCAATGGCGACACCGCGCTAGCCATTGCGGGATAATGTGCGCATTGCATGATATTAACTTCTAATAATACAATAATGTAATAGAGATCTTCCCTAATGACGCCCTTAGCCCTCGTAGCCGATGGTATCAAGATGCAGTGATGGTAATAACCAACTGGAACGTCTCGAATTGCCCCCATAAAACTCAAGATTAAGTGGCAGTGGAGCCGGACCAGGGAAGTGTATGGGCCCGAGTGGAAGTAAAGCCAAATTTCACAGCCGCGATTTCGTGGATCCCACTTCACCTTTACCTATCATTATTCCACCTCCGCACTGAAGGACAAAGTCAGGATCGCTCTATAAAAATGCAAGTGACCACCGACGTCACCCTGGCTCCAGTCTCTCCGTCACAGATCTCAGATGTTTTGGAAGTATCTCACCTGATAATTTTGCTGTTCTGCTATGTTCTACCTGCCTAATCAGTCAGCCAGAATTCCATTTTTGCGAAATGAAACTGGAGGTCACTTCCTTCTTTCAATATCAATCCAGCACGTCTTCTGATAGTGATAACAGCCGATAACCACTATATAAACACCTAGTTATATAACAGTGAAAGCCACTTCACGTGGTGCTTCCATTGGGTCTGGTGGCGAGAATGGGTGGAGGCGTGTCACCTATGCTGGGACAGAGAAATGCAGCGGCTGCCGAGGAGACAGAGTCATACTGAAGAAAACAGATATGCTTTTCACCGTTGTAATCCGGCACCTTCTATGGTTATACCTCTTGGTCTCGAATGCGTCTCGTTGAATAAATAAATTTGAACATCTCGTCATGGGAAGCAATTCTCCGCAACGCCTCCTGTGCACAGAAATTACGCGCGCGGAAGTTTCGTTGTGAGAGCGACCACAACGAGAAAATATACGAACACATAATCGTACTTAATTTTGGCGGCTCTGCTCAATTTTGCATGATGTGACATAAAGATTAAAGTGTGACTGCTAGATAAAGAGTGCATGAATAAAGATGCAAAGTAGCATAGATCCCAGGCGCTATCGCAAGACACGGGGGCATTGTGGTAGCGATGCATTCGAAACCGCGTAAAATACGTCCTTGTTTTACGCGGTTTCGAATGCATTTGAGAATGCCCCCGTACATTGTGATAGCGCCAAAATCCAAGTAAGGACACCTCAATTTTGTCAACGTAAGGTACAACATAGAATTAGTATTTGTGTGGAAATACCTCTAGCAATTGTGTCAACCCATGAAGGAAAAGCCGGCACTGACCTGTCTCCTGCCAAGATAACCAAAAATCAGTCCATCCACGAGTTTCACATTCTCTACGTCCATGTCATCTAGCTGCCAGTCCAACACACCGCTTACACACTAAACGTCACTCTAAAATAGACCGCTGTTTTGAACAGCTCATTGTAACTGAAAACAGCAAATACTACGCAAACACAATGCATCACCCTTCACGAAGTAGCAGCACTCAAGACGCAAATAATTTATTATTACAATATGTACAACAAGGCGGTCATACCAGTTCAAATGAAAATTGCATGCACCTAGAATAGCTAACCTAAACTACTATAGTCACAGTCGAGGACTAGATAGTCTGATAATTAGAAACCGGGAGGATTCCAGTCGATCATCTGTGGCACTTCCTTTTTCCTGTACACTTCGACGGTATCATCTTCTTTGAATCGTATACTTTTATCTTCGAGGGCAATGCCTACCTAAAATTGATAAAGAATAAGCTACAGTACTGCAAAAAAATGCCACGTCTATGCAGAAATAGTAAGAGGAAGCCAAACCTCGGTGTTTGTTTTTGCTGTGTTCACCATTTCTGCCTGTTGTTTCATCGATTCCACCCCTCCCTCATAAAACGGTTTCCCAGCACGTAAGAATTTGAAAATGCAATTCCTAAATTCAAAAGATCAAAATCAACCGAAATGTATAAATCCTACATGTAAGAGAAAACTCACTTTTGGAAATTTCCCCAGTCAACGAGCACGCCTGCAATGGGTTGTCTTTTTCGGTTGCGGTCAGAGATTTGAAATTCCTAGAAATTTCTTCCTTGAATCTCTAATAAACAGGTTGAAGAGAGCGACTCTTCATTTCACTTATTATGATTGGATCAGTTCTCACCTTGAGCACATGACCTTCTCCAACAAGCTCCATTTCAGTGAGAGCGGGTAGTTGCTGAGACAACTCGTCCTTCAAAGCCTCGACGAGTCGATAAATAACATTGTATAATTCTATGCGAACACCGTCCTGTTCAGCCTGCCTTCGAATAGCAGCAGGCGGCTCCACATTGAAAAGGTAGATTAGAGCTGAAAAGTCTCTAAATGCTAACATGGACTTTCGGATTTCAGCTTGAGCTCACCTCCAGTCTCTTTTGCCATTTCCACATCCATATTTGTTGGTGGACCAACACCGAAATCAACTAATTGGAACTTGCACTTTTCGCTATCATAGGTATCGATCACGTTCAGAATTGCCTCCAACGTCCCTTCTACATCAGTACGAAGCTGGAAATTATAATCATTGGCAGAAGATAAAAGCACCATTCAATTCACCAACTGACCAACAATTCTCAGCTTTCTAAGAACCACTAATTATGTTGTTTTTGTTTAGCTCATAGTCCAAGAACGTTTTTCTTTTCGCTCTAGGCACCAAAACTAAACGCAAGCGTCAATCGATGCATCTACTCTAACCAGATCAATCCAGGCAACAGTCGTGCTAAGCACACGTGCACGAATTTACAGAACAAGTACCTCCCAAGAACTTCAACAATAAAGTCAGAACATTGTAAACCTTGCAGAATTAAAGGAGACGAAATAGCAGATGTTCGTGAGGCGGCCACTGCGCAGGTCGTTAAACGTTTCACGCTTTTTGCATCGACGCATTACATCAAACCGGCCAGTAATGAGCGCTCTCATGATTGGAATCTACTGTCAATGTTCTATCATGAATGCGTCGAGATTATCTGCATCATCACATTGATTATCAATGAGAACCACTGAAGAGCCCTTATGAAAGATAACTGAATGGCGCGGCTCCATCTCTCACAATAGTTAGTAGCATGTTCCTGACTCATTCTTAGGGAAGTTAGAACGCCCGAAACTATGAAGTTGCTCTCTCAAATTTGTGAAACTAAGACCTGATTATTGTGATATCACACACATAAGCAAACCACATCGATGCTACTCGTTAGCTTTTTTCAGAGACGGACATTTTTGTGACGTTCAACTCCAACATCTCCTTTAAGCTTCCAATAGGCTCGAAACATCTGCCCTCAGTTTTTCTGGCTGTGAAACCAGCCGCACACTCTGTGGAAGCACAATACGCTTCGATCACAATATCAAGTTCAAAACTTCACTGCAAACAGAGTACTGTTGTGGATGCAGCTGTGACTCTCTCGCGCGCGACAACGCCATATCGACATTTTCTCTCGAATCACCTAAGCAGCCTACGGGATGAGAAAAAACGACAAACCTTGTCTGCGCTAGCCGAATACGCCTTTATTAGAGTCTTAAATACATATGTGAGATCTACGCGCAAGAGACATATAAAATCGACTGACGCCGCATACTTATTGGCGACTCGAACGGTGGTAACGCTCGAATTTTAGAAATAAAGGAGATCCTTTCTTGTATCCCTATATGGTTAATCGCATGTTATTCGCATCGATTTAGGACGTCCTTAGACACACACGCCACTGTGCACTTTCCGTTTCCACAATGTCAGCCGAGCAGAAGAGCGCCACGACTTATCGTTCACAAGAATAACGCCACGGAGCTCGAAGCACTGATGTGATATAATACAGAATCGTGTCACCATATGTTCACTTTGAACGACTGTGAAAAAATGCAATTTGAACCTCTATTACAAGCAAAAAAATTGAGAATGATAAGATCGGAAGAGCGTCGCAATTATGAGCAACTGTTCCGGACTGAACTTTCTGTATAGATCGCTCCACGTGCTGAATACACTGTTACAGCCGACACATTGGCTCAACGTTTTAACTAAGAAATGCTGTCGAAGCCATCGCGGACTAGAATGCGTGCAACTTCGATGATGAATACGCTTTCGATATGAAGCGCAGAGAAAAAACTAGTCTCGATCACAACTCATACTTCTACCCCGCGTCTAGACCACGCGGCTCAAGTTCTAGATGTTTCTGCACTTCAAAATGACAAACCGAGGAATGGACCCAGCAGAATTCTTACCAGGAAGGTCTTTCAGGGCGTGACGAGCTTTTTGAAAACGGTCTTTTGCATGATATAGGGGCAGATGCGGGGACCACAGAACCATGTTTAATTTTTCCTGAACGGCCCTCTGAATACCAGAAAAGGAGGTCCCTAGTTCGATTCCTCGTGGTAACAAATTTTTGCATTTCGAGTTGACGTGCCAAAATTCGCGCAAAATGGAGTTAGAACCAACCAGAACAATCAGAACTCCATTTTGCGCGAATTTTGGAACGTCAACTCGAAATGCAAAAATTTGTCACCAAGAGGAATCGAACTAGGGACCCCCTTTTCTGGTATTCAGAGGGCCGTTCAGGAAAAATTAAACATGGTTCTGTGGTCCCCGCATCTGCCCCTATATCATGCAAAAGACCGTTTTCAAAAAGCTCGTCACGCCCTGAAAGACCTTCCTGGTTAAGCCTCAATCGCTTACGTCTTGTATGATTAGGCTATCATGGGTTTTTTGAAATTCACACCAGGTACGTTGAAATCCTTCCAAAATTCCCATTTCAAAAAAGTGCGAAAATAGCGAGCACAAACTAAAGAAGCTGAACCAGATCGACCGTATAAGTATGTTTAGTCTCAAGTGTCGGTATCAGGTGGGCGTTACGGCGGAACGCCTAGTTCTTTTATACTTGACTAAAGCTGCTGTAACAGGTTAGGGCTCAGTAAACTTAGTCTGAGGACAAACCAGCGCGACATTCGAGTACTTCACAATTGATTAGATTCATGTTTAGAATGTCAAGGGTATTAGCAGCAACATATGATTTCTGAGAGGAAAAAATAGAATCATCTAGCGCCTTTCCACCCATCATTCACATGTGGATAAATGCAGGACTGGTCAGAAGATGCGGTACCTTCCACCCCTAGCGATTTCGCGCGCAGGCAGCCGCAAAAAGGCAGGCCTTCTCAAAGCCACCAATTTGCCACAGCTCCCGGAACATGTTACACTCAAATAACCTGACTGCCCCGGTCAGAGCCAAATACATCTCTCTAGCAGATGCATCTTTTTAACAATACCATGTAAAGTATAGCAAGATGTGAGATAAAATGAACCTTGTCAAGAAGTTTCTGGCGATTAGCTAGATATTTTTCACGCTCCTCTTTCCGCTGCTCTTCAATCGCTTCCTAAAATGAAAAATGAAATTATTTCCAACCTATTCGAAGCTGAGCAATAAACTTCACTAGAACGGAAAGAAGACTGATGGCCAAAAGCGAGCCATAGCGGGAAAGGATATCGACTCACCCAGTCCTTTTCCGCCTTCTCCGCCATTTCTTTTTCAGCGCGAAATTTCACAGCTCGCTGAGCACGATCTACGGATGGCACTTCCAATATCACTTCTCCCGGCGTCGGAATATCTTCTTTCCAACCAGAAATCTAAATCTAGCAAGTGAGTGAGTTTAGTGACTATCAAGCATGTATGCACTGCGCAAGTACAAATGCTAAAGCTGAGAGATAGAGAAAAAACATTTACCCTAACTGGTGTACTAGGTCCCGCCTCCTGTAAGTGTTGCCCAGTTTCATTCGTCATCGTACGTACCCGACTCCACGCTCCACCAGCAACAAGAATAGCATTCTTCCGTAAAGTACCGCGAGTCACCACCACCGTACAAACTTTACCGATTCCTGTTAGAGAAAAGAAAGAAAACTCAGCAATTTAATTTATTTTTATTGGAAAGTTGTAGAAGAAATCTTGTGTTTCTTATAATTAATTACGGTGCGGTTGTACCTCGCGACCACTTCGCAGCTCAAGATGAATCGATACTTACTACTAATTACTCGAGCGAACAATCTCATGATCGCGCGATCGTGCAATCGCGCGATCGTGCTGCGCTAACGCCATAACGCGGTGGTGCACGTGCGTCCCGGAAAGAGCGCGGCGACGCCCAGCAAAGAGAACGTTTGAAGCGCGCAACAAGACCTACCGCTGAGCTGGTGCTGTAGTGACTGCCTGTTGTTAGCGCACTCTTTTCTAAATGAGCTGTGGTGCTCACTGCGAATAAGATAGACTCATGGGGTAATAACTTAACACCACAGTATGAAGGAGCACGATTAACTGTGGTCCCGTGGCATACCCTTGCAATGAGCTCACCGATAATAATGGCAGAGTGGAGTTAAAGGCACATAATACAAGTAGCAGGCGTCAGAAATCGATCCAATGATTCGAAATGCGGGAAACGCCTCTGAAGGCCGGTATCAGACTTTACGAATCCAGCGAATCGCGAGGTACGAGCGATGCACCAGCAGTTAAAATGATTCGAATTATGCAAAGCCGGTTCGAAAGATGTACCAGCGACTTGACAATGTTTGGGTGCACTCATTGTCGGTCGTCCGATCGTAACGATGCGTATCGATCATGCGACATACGCGATCGCTACGATCGCATGTGTCAAACCATCAATACGCATCTACTACTTAACACCCAACAATCAGACTTTCGAAATACTATGTGACGCGGTGTACTGTGTTGTGGCGGGAATGCTCATAAGGTCACTGCGTCGCCTCCGTTGTTGTGCGATCGTAACGATCGCAGGACCGACTATTGAGTGCGCTCCTTGAAAAGGGCGGGAGCCCATCTCGTTTGCACGTTCACTCGCCTCCTTCCCGGGCTCGCGAGGGAATGACAGAGAGAGAAGGCGCGATAGCCCGAGAAGGTGGCGAGAGTGGACGTGCAACGAGAGGAGCTGCCGCCACTTTCAAACACAGTCGAGTCCTTTGAACTGCTGGTGCATCGCTCATATCCCGCGGTTCGATGAATTCGCGAAGAATGACAGCAACCTAAACAGTACGGACAAATTAAGTCGCACAAACTGCTCAGCCTCGAAACAGCACTTCTGTGAAGAAGCCTCATTAAGGTATCGCTATAGATTCAAACGCTGGAACACGTACTCGGTGTATGGGTTTAATAATGGTTTTTCCTGTTGTTTTAGGAGGATTCATTGCAGGTAGTAGTGCATCGAGTTGCACTGCCACATTTAGTTTCCAATATCACGAATGCATTTTTAAAATATGCAAAGTGTTCAAAACAATACGCCACGCTCCGCATACTATTTCCATTGATGTAAAAAAGAATGGCATGGAAAACCGCCTTTTTCTCATACTGATCACAAATTTCGCTTCATATTTACTCACCGTGAACTACCGATGATTCGATAACCACTCCTTCAACTAATCCTTTTGGAGTACTTTGCAATCCCATCAAGTCAGCCTGCATTAGCAGCGCCTCCTGAACAATTGCTTAAGTATAGACAGAAATATACTCCAACAAAACAAACTAACTTGCAGTGCCGGAAGATTTTTAGAATGCAGAGCGGAAACTTCAACACATTGAACATCTCCACCCAATTCCTCCACCACCACATGGTGCTCTAATAGAGAGCGCTTTGCTCGCATCTTAATCATGGTCCTCATTTCGAAAGAGATATAGTGAAGAATGGAAGAACAAAAACATGTCTGGTATGGGAAAATGTAGAATTGTATAAAAAACAAGCTCAAGAGCAGAAAATGAAGTCAGTCCACAAAATAAAAAAATGGGAAACAAACCGGATCTGCATTTGGTTTGTCGCATTTGTTGACGGCCACAACTATTGGAACGCCGGCAGATTGAGCAAATCTTAAAAATGTATGAATTTATTGAATAAAGCTCCAGTAATGTCAATCTCTTACGGTTTAAATAAGCGTATTAATGAGTACACAAAGGAATACCTACTTGATGCTTTGCACAGTTTGCTCTTTCACACCATCATCAGCTGCCACAACCAAAACTACAATATCAGCGCCTTTCGCCCCTCGAGCCCGCATAGCTGCAAATGCCGCGTGGCCAGGCGTGTCCAAAAACGTCACTTTACGGCCAGCTCCTTTGAAATCTACTGAAAACGAAAAAAAAAAATCAGTCAGACTTTCACCATCTAAACTAGATCCATAGATGGGTGTTCCAATAGTTGCAATTCGTAAAATGAAATATCCATTTCTATGAATATCATTGTAGCTCTCCTTCATGCTCATCACCCAAAGATCCAGCTCGAAAGATCGAGTCAAATTTGGGAAAGCGAGTGATATTGGCCAAAATTTAGATCACTCTTAAGACAAGTGACAACGCGCATGCTGCGGGCGTGTGCTGCCAAATCAATATACGTGCCACCCTTTTACACTATCACCGCTTCGCTCCGCCGACTTTCCATAAGTGCACGTTAGACACAACTACAGTGATAGCAAGAAAAATCGATCGCGCAAGATCAATTGTTTAATATGCGGAAGAGATTCTCATAGCTTCATTGCATTGAGGCCGAATGCACGATAAGAACTAGCTCAGAGATAAGGTATGAGGTGGCTCAGTGAGGAGCGGATGAGAAGAATCAATGAAGAAAATGGCCCGAACTTGAGAACCTGAGACTCTTCATTGTCTGTGATTTGTACATTGATGCGACTCGCTTAGCAACGCTCTCTCTCTGCTACCTAATCACTCGCCACGTATAGACCTGCGGCGAGTGATTAGACAGTCGGTGGGCGTACCCCGCCAACCGCGCCAAGAGTGAGCCATGCTAGATCGCCGAGGTCAAATCTTTCGCTGCCTAATTGCGCGTCGGTCAGCACCCTCAGGAGGTCCGCCTGTCTCCCAACTATGCAATGTTCCCTTTCTTTGACCTTCGTTCACATCGTGAATTTCTCCTTCTATACGCCTTATGATGATTTAAAGATATGGACCAAAATGTAAACTGAGCCACAAGGTCGGGTGACTAAGACTTAGATGAGTAGTCTGATCTTACTAGCTGTACGATACCAGTGATATCCGCATCCAACATGGTTAAAATAAGTGTCCTATGCACTAGACCTGAAAATGCTCCAATGTGCTGCGTGATTCCACCAAATTCTCCAGCAACTATGTGACTGTTTCGTAATGCATCAAGAAGCGTGGTTTTTCCATGATCGACATGACCCATAATGGTTACCACTGGCGGTCGTTTGACACACTCCGATGGGTCTGGAGGGGGCCTGCAAAAGAATCGCAGTCAATTAATTTCGTAAATACAAGTTTTTTTTTATTAAACATTCATAGCTGAGCAGACTGAGCTACTTTCGAATCAACCCGTTCTTCATACCAAACTTTTTGACACAAATAAAACTCACTGCGGTAAAACATCATCAGTGTCCGATTCATCTTTCTTGTGCGGCCTAGAGACGAGACGCGGTTTGCATTTGAAAAGTGCAACTGCCTAAGTTGTTTCGAGTGAGGAGTCGGAGACCGATTCAAGGACAACTGGGTGATAGCAAGCAAATAGAAGGCAAAATACCTTAACCAAATGTTCTTTATCTAGTGGCTTATCTTCCGCGATCAAATCCAGATTCTGTTTGTCCATCTCGATTAAGGATTCCACAACAAGGTCCAAATCTACGTTTAACGCTTCAGCAAGCTCCCTGAAAGAAATTGCTGTGATATCACTCAATAAGGGGAAGGTGGATGGTTTCATACTTGGCCGTCATATCGCTGTAGACGTCCACGACTTCCTTGGTACTCTTCGTATGTTTAACAATTACAGGGTCAACGAACTTCCTTTTCCCTCGTCTACCTTTGTCCGCATAAAACCGCTTGGGTAACATATATAGCTTCATATTCCCTATAAACATATTCCAAATACAATGTTGAAAGCAAATCTCTTCAAAATAATGGTGACACAGCTCGCACAGACACCATAATGTTACCACAATTTTATTTTTGGTCAAAATGTTGTCTGAAACAGATTGCCTCCGCCCGCGCAGCCTCGGTTCTCTCAGACACAGGGACTTTAGGGAACTTTTCGGGACTTTTCGAGAGGTACTTAGCAATTAATCGAGGACCAGGTGATTGCCATTATGGAACATTCCAAATTCACTATCCAATGCTCTTCTTCAATTTTTGGTTGAAAGTAAGTCACCGCTTGTGACTCGCGATTCAAGCGAATCTGCTGAAGGACTAGAAACATGTTGTCTGATTTGCTCCGCTCTAGCATTTTCCACAGTTTGCCCTATAACTGATGCACGCGAAAACCAAACGATGCGTGGAGCCGCGATGGGAACCAGATGCATATCAATCCTTAAATTGAGAGGGGCGTCGAAACGTGCACGCCAGTCGGAGAACCCTCCATCTCATCGACGAACGGTCATTAGGAGGGGCCAAGCCGGTCGTTGTGCAGCGACATAATCGTCAAACTTTTAGATCGATACATATGCTTACCTATCAGCATAATCGTCAAGTCGCATTAATCATGATCTATGAACGGGGCCTGAATGATTCCTGTGATTCGACAATAAGGCGGTTCAACAACCCTTATAACCAATTCGTACACATCGCTTCATCAGAATCGCCTAATCGCCAAGTCACCTAAGTCGCAATTACGATCAGTGCCTATGGTGGAGCACACGTCACAACCAAGCCGTCCCACACGCCGCGATGGGCCACTCACCTTTCGCCGAGGGACCTTCTACTGTTTTACTATTTCACTCGCGCAACGTGTTTTAATTAAGGAAAGTGGAAATCTTGGAAAGAGGCCCGATTTGGCCCCTCCGTAGTCTTCTGATAGAAGTCGTAGGAAAACAAAACCAATTCCGAAACACAACCTGTGACGGTCTCAGCCTGTTGCAGAGAGCATCCTTGAGCAGGTTTCACCAGCAGCTGAACTGATACTCGCCGCAGAAAACATATGTTTACCCTACGGCAAAACGTCAGCATCACCTATGTCGGACACAAAATGCAGCATGTCGCTTCTTCAAATGTAAAACTAACACTGCCGTGTGGCGATATCAAAGGACAAATGTGACCATATACAGTAAAGTATCTCTTTATAAACTTTAATCAACATTCAATTTTCAACAACGTTCTGGTGAATGGATTGGCAACTCGTTGACATACAATCGGCGGTTGAACAGCTTCGGCACCTTTCACAAATTAAACAACAAAGGCGGCCAAAACAAGGTGAAGCCAGTTCAACGCCGGGAATCACGATTCCTGAGCACACAGGCTAACTGTTCACCGAGAACGTGACTCCATTTCGACATTGTTGCTCTGCGGTGAAAATGGTGAAATAACGAAGTATAAGTGGTGAATAGAAAAGGAAATAGAACACGAGCGTAAAATGGGAAGACAAGAGAATGTGAGTATGTTAAGAATGAAGTTGAATCAACGAATGTTGTGAAAGGCGACACATACATGCCAGTGATGGTACAGGAATCCCCATAGAAAAATACAAAACTACCAATAAAAGGCAAACAAGAAATCTGACCATAAAAACTGGTGAAATTCAATGATGATATCAAAAGTGGAAAATTGACTTAAGCGTATACAGGCGTCTTATGAAAAGATAGCGCAATAGCTAGTATTGAAGGATCAAAACAGTGAAAACACTACTGCAATCTATATACTACACACTTATCTAGTTAAGGGCGCGTAAATTTGCTCACTGATTGCGGGTAAACTATGAATGTACAATAGGAAAGTAAGACGGGTATCGGAGAAGTAAGAAAACATTAGCCTTGGCGGTAATCATCAGAAACGCAGGAGTCGATGGATGCCCACAACAAAAAAGCCGTTTTACATCAACTCGTCAAGGTCGTTTTCGTTAAGTTCGTGCAGGTCTGGTAAGTCCTCAGCGATGACCTATAAGTAAGAATTTCTTTATTGTCAAACTAAAGGAAAACTGAGCAAAACTTCCTACCCCCTCAACTGTGTTCTTTCGACTCTCAGCCACAAATGCAGCAAAGACCTTCTCGCTTTCTCGGCGGGATCGTTCCTCGGAATCGCTTGCTCCATCGCGACTTTCTAGCAAGGATTCAAGCCTCCAGAGGAAATTATCGTTGCCAAAGATTGGCACCAGGAACTCATCGGTGTCCCAAAGTGATTTGTCCGGAAGGTTCTGAAATAGTGAAGTGATGAAGTAGTAACAATTTACTAATACATTAGGAATTTTGGAATTGGAAAATGCTCAGTTCCTAACAAAAATCCCAACAAAGTGACAAAGCACAAACTACGAGAGACAAAGCAACTGAGAAAAGGTGTAAGACTCAAACACTGAGGAATGAAATGAATGCTTCAGAAGTACCTTAATTGGCTTTTCGTTCTCCTGCAAATGCTTGGCAAGCTCTTGAGTGTTTCCAAGGTCACTGCGTTGACAAACAAAACAAACGGCATTGAAATTCTGAAAAAAAACGAGTTGAACCACGAAAGCCTTTACATTCACTCCGATGGAACACACCTGTTTTCTTATGTAGTTGATGAGTTTCATGCGCTGATAAACATCAAGTCTGTTTTCATCAATCAGCTTTACTAGATCGCACTCATGCTTCTCCTGAAATGGAGAACTCGTGGAACCTTTCCTCTAAAGTGAATATATCGTGGGATTGAAAAGCAACAAAACGGTGAGACAGATGGAATATCGAAATGAGGTTGCTGCAAATTTTCCACTATCGATTCTTTCTAATTGATGACTGATTTAGAGTGAAAAAGCTATCATCAACTGACAGATCCACATCACCTGAACTCTTTCGATTAGTGGCATTAGAACCATTTGCGCACGCAAATCCATGAAAACTGTTGAAAATAGCAACCTCCTACCTTCATATGAGCCAGAAGACCCTCAGCAGTGTCATCACTCTCATGACATAAAAGACAAACAACTCTGGTTTCATCTGCGTCCACGTTGTCTTCGTGCCATTCACACCATGAGTTACTGAAAAACTCACAGTTAAATCAACTGAAGAGTTCCAGTACACTGTGGCTAATAGTCAACGGAAGAAACAACGGAAAAGCAGACATACTCTTCTTCCTCCTCATCCGAATCAAGGAATGTTGGCATAGTATCTTCAAAGTCTTCAGCAAGTACATCCAGCCAACGTTTTCCAAGTTCCAGATAGTTGATGATGTAAAACTTGTCATAGTAATGGTTTTTCGGATTGACCTGGCAACATTTCAAAATACCAAGGGGTTTTTGGTTGGAAGCAAGCAAATACAATTAGTATGCATATGCATTACGCGAACCTCTCTGTGATTTCTCTTTCGCATATGATCCATAAGAATATTGCGGTCGCCGAAGGTCTTTTCACAATAGATACATTCATTTCTCTGAAAAAAAAAATTGAATGAGAAAGGAAAGCTCCTAGGATGGTGGAAATGAGGTAGCGTAAATTTTTGGCGCACTAGTCGAGCGCTGGCGTACTACTAGATATACTGCCTAGTTAAGATACCTGTAGCTTCTCCTTGAGGTGTTCAATGTACTCGGTGACGAAAACGAGGTTATCCGGCGAGCCAAGATTTAGATGATGGATCATGTAAAGATGATGGATGATCTTTGACCTATTGCCACGAGCTGTATAGCGACAAAAAATGCACTGCTGCTGGAAATTGGTGTCTTCCCTGAAAGTACCCAGATAAATACTGCCTGTAATTCCATAACATTCTTAGTGTAGAAGTCTGTACCTCTCTCGCTGTTGGCAGGAAAGTGCTTCCTCGAGACGACGCATAGCCAAACGTTGACGAACAGAATAATCTTCCGGCAGAGTTTCGGACATGTTGAAGTAATAGTCGGTTTCCCCTAAAGCGGTGAAATTACTTTACTAAGAGATAGATGAAACATAATTTTAGTTGTATCATACCAAAGTATTTATCCCCCTCTTTTGGCTCTACGCGTGGAAATATCATATCAACACTTTCCTTGGCAAAACGTTGACGCCAGTGTTCGACATACCTAGAACAGTGTTTGGAGTTATAAACACCCAAGTTTATTCAATCTAACTGAACGATTCACCTTTTCGGGTCTACGATAAGTCCCATCTCAGAAACAACGATCTTGTGCTCTTTTAGGAAGATGTCTGTAATATAGTTTTTTCAAAAGCAAACGCAAAAAGTGTCACACGTTGAAGGCTCACTCTTCAAACATATCCATTTGTTCAGGAAGATCGAAGAACTGCAAACAACTCAGGCACATTGTCGGACCACCCCACTTCGGAGAATAACCAACAACTGGTACAGTACCAGATAATGTCCTATAATTTGCAGAAATAGCTCAAAGGATGAAGTAGTTTCGAGATACTATGAGTCTGGTCGCCTTACCTGATTCTGCCACGTGGTACAATGAGGTTTGGTTTTTGAGGCTGCTTTGGTCGTAGGTCATCGTCTGAGTCACTGAAGGGTTCGTCCAGCTCATCTGAAACTTAAGCATAGCACGAAAAAAAAAACACGTGTAAGAGGAGGATAAATGAAATAAAAAATGAAGAAACTTACAGTCATCGCTGTAATCGAACCCTTCTCCATTGCTAGCCATTGAATTTGTTCTAGTTGAATCTCTCTCACGGCGTTTTCCATTTGCTAAAAGGTGAATTTTCTTCGAAATCAAAAAAAAACAGGGCACTAAAGAAGAAAAATCACTCGATTCTGACATTCTACCACACTTACGACAGCGCGATGCACATTCGACCAACGTAGGCTGCATGGCATCGCACAATGCACACGCTTCCCACACCCATGTCATCTTTTTCTTGGCGCATCGCGAATTCTTCGGTAATTTTTTAAAGTCATTCTATAACTGACACTTAGCACAACTAAAAACGAAGCCGTCCAAAGAATGGTCACATGCTTTACTTGAGCGAGTTGCGTTTTATTTTTATTCTTTTTATTTTCATCGATATGTAAATAAAAAACGGCACGGTAGGAGAAAAGTAACTATAGAAAGCAAGATAAGTGTTCTGCTGAAAGATCAAAGGAACACGGTACGATTTTGACATCTACAGCAACAAGAGTTGATGAAATTTACTTTCCCATTTACACGTTATTTTGATTAGAATTCTACTTGCACACCCTCGAATAACTTCTACGCATTGATACTTGGTGCAACTATTCCATTCCATTCAATTTTTGTAAATTCACCACTCAAAAGCAAGATGAGATGGCCATCCTCGCAAAATCGCGCCGTCTCATGCAAACAAAGAAGCCAGAATGCACCCTGTCGCCAAAGTGTTAAAACGTGCCGTAAGTTCATAGAGTCGAAGACCTTACTCTCTACTCCCGTACAAAACTTACCAAAAACCTCATTCTGGCACGCTCGAAATACAAAGTCCAACTTTCTAAGGAAGGATCTAAATCATTCCCACGACCTGCCACTCCATTAACGTTCAACTACGAGCCACAAACTAAAAAAATTGCAACCCATTTGGTCATGAACCACCAACCCCTACACTTAGGGAAGACACTATTCACCCTCAAATCGCGAATTACTGAATATTTAACCATTGATTGCTAGGAGGAGGAAATCGCTAGGAGGACGAAGCCATGAGCTCTGAACTTGCAGAAACAAGGAAGTTTACAGCGTCAAAATAAAGTGTGCGCGTGAAATATAAATGATCAATTTAGAGAGAAACGTCACGCCTATGGAGATGTGCGCTAAAAAGGCAACAGACAACGAAAACACGTGGCTTAAAGATAATCTAACATTACTATGGAAAGCCGATAGGGATCACCAGCGAGTTTGTGCAATACATGGATGTGAAGTTTTTTTTTTATTATTTTCGTTAGAAGCATCAGGGACCATAATCACTTGCACGGAAGAGAACCAACATATGCACACGATAAAGAACTATGACCTGCATTTGAAGTCCCACAAATAATACACTGTTGCATCAACCCAAACCTTGGATACTCTTTTAAATATAATCACTCACAGTTTGTGCTTCTCGTTCTCTTATGAGCTGGATTGTTATCCTTGTTCTTATTTATGATGTAGTTGTTCTTTTTTCTCCATCGGCTTTAGCACCCTGGCTTAAACTCTTTCTTTCAGTCCAATCTTTTCGGCGTGGGCGATCTTAAAATATGCCTTCAGAGCGACATTCAAATTCTTGAGATAATTACAATCGAAGGTTTAACAGAGTTAACAAGTCAACAAATGATATAGAAGTTGATTTATTCTCGATACGTTAAACAGTCCCATTAGGACCGACATAACATTAAGAATAGCTTGAGCACATCTTAACCATGGGAATTCATTTTTCGCAAACTGTTCTACTAGTTTGGTTATTGTCTTCCCCATATGATGACTATTTAGGAAGAAAGTGAAAGCTCCTGACAACAATCCTTTTCAACCACTTCGTCGACTTAACCCAACCCCTTCAGCCACTTTGTCAGGATCATTGTGATGCTGTGACAAGCATACTGGAATTTGCTGTAGCTAACCTACATAACTCCATTTCCAATTACTGGTGCGGTTCGCTAGACAAAAAAGCGCTTTCATTTGTGTAATAGGTAAAGGGTGTGTTTTGCTGAAAAGTAGAAAAGTCGCTTTCTGTCTTAGGCCGACGTCATACTTTGCGAATCGAGCGAATCGCTAGCGAATCGCTCGAGTTGAGCGATTCGCTAGCGATTCGCTCGATTCGCAAAGTATGACGTCAGCCTTAGCGAACCACACCTACTCCCAACACAAATGAAGCTCGGCATTTCGATTCCACACACCGCTTTTCAACTTTTGACGAACCATGCCAGAAAGATCTGCGATATTTGGGCGGCCCATGTTCCGTCAGCTCACTTACAATTTCATTGAGACCCACCCGCTTTCCCTCGAAAACTGACTCAAAATCGTTTGGAATTCATAAACGCCTTTCAGATCACGGAAAACTAACCTTTATTCCCTGATTGACTATTGGTTCGACTTCCACTACGCGATGAATCCGCTCCATCTCCTTCGCCTTTGGTATTCGAACGGCGACGATGACGGTTATTGTTCTGGAACAAAACCAATTTAAAGATGAAATAACAATCTCTTGCGAGATGAGTGACACTCTTTCTCTTTCGTGAGTTTCAGAATCTCAGAGAGATTGTAATAAATGAGGAGAAATCGTGCTTCAAAAAAATGCACCTTGTGGTGGGACGTGGGCGCACTTTTCTGCTCAGGCCGATCCCCTGTTGCTTTTGTCTCCACGGGGGGATCGCCTTCCTGGACTGGTGTTGACATTCGACAGCTTGATTATGGGGCCAAATTCAAGGTGTCCGCAATTCCTGTAGGAATTACAGAACCTGTAACAAGGTATCCTGGACATCACATTTACCATTGAAACCTTCGAAAAGAACTACGAACATTTTATCAGTGTCAATTTACAAGGTTAAGTCAGCTTTTTTAAAAACCGAAGAATCGAAGAATCCGCGAAAAAGACTGTATACGTATGATCGAGGGGCATGGTCCATCTCATTGCCTTTAAAGGGTGGTTTTTACTGATTTGACGTGGCGGCAGCCCACTTGATAGAAGTCGCGTGGATAAGCTGTTTGTCGTATAACTTCGTCGCGTTTGAATGGCGAAGCATGTCTGGAACTGTACGCATGCGATTCTATCAGTGGCACAATCGCTACTCAATAAATAAAAGACTGCACAGACGGCGAGAATGGACTGTAGTAGGATCACAAAGAATCGAGATGGCCTATAATATGCGATTTTTATTCAGAAGCGTCGTCACAGGGTTGTCACTGATGAGGCTTCGGTACACAGGCTGCCCGCGGAAACGTGAGGCAATTAAAGTCAACTATAAATGGCATTGGAGAACCAGTCTGCTATTTAATCAGTTCTATCACGCACAATAATGTCCAAGTTCGACTTTGCATGAATCTTGGCATATTTTCAGAATAGAATAGTTTAGTACTGAGCTTCCGACCAAGATTGTCAATAGCTTTATTTGGCCGACGTTTCGGTGCTTTCACCTTCTTCAGAGCCTGGAAAAGTCGAAAGCTATTTAGGAAACTACCCGTCCAAACACTATTTCAACCTACAAGATTCATTCAACAGGGAGTAAACTACTAAAACAATGTCATGGAGGGAGATGAGAACGAACCTTTAGAGATGCTGGCCAGAGAGGTCCACCTGCCACCCCGAGCTGGTAGTAACGTGGCTTAAATAGGTAAAGCCTTAGGGTCATTTGCTTTAGGGACCTCCGGAGGGTTGATCATGTAGATCAAATCACTCCAAAAGACCCCTCGAGGCTAGGCGCGCCGCGCTGGGGCACGCTCATGTGTGAGAAAGGCTGACCTCCAAGAATGGGTGAGGGTGGTGGACATTCCATCCACAAACCTAAAAGGACAATTGGTCCGAAATCGCCTATATGATCGTGTTTGTGTGACCCCTTCCTGTGTCATATGTCCATTCGGCAGGGACGGCGATTGTATGACGTCAGGCGTAGTATACCTTATTTCATGCCTTTCTTGCAAAGAGGAGTACATCGGAGAAACAGGCAGACCTCTCTGCGTTAGGATAAAAGAACATCTGGATGGCATGAGAAGGTCTCAAGTTGCTACTCCCCTGGGAGAGCATAGGGTTCGAAGTCATGCGGACACTTATCCTGAGGTGGCAGTTACGATATTGTCGCGCGAGTCCGACATTGCGGCGCGGCGAACCCTGGAGGCCTTCTGGATCAACGCCAAGACCCCTAGGATCAATAGGAGGGAAGAGTGTGTTGCGGTGACTGCAGAGCTGGCACCCTATGCGGCCTTGTGTGGCTTTTGACCTACATGATCAATCCCCCGCGGGGTCTTCCTGACGGGGGCGGGGTCGGGGGCTACTGCATAGTAATCAATAATAGGGTTCAGGGGGTTCAGCGGCGCGCCTAGCCTCGAGGGGTCTTTTGGAGTGATTTGATCTACATGATCAACCCTCCGGAGGTCCCTAAAGCAAATGACCCTAAGGCTTTACCTATTTAAGCCACGTTACTACCAGCTCGGGGTGGCAGGTGGACCTCTCTGGCCAGCATCTCTAAAGGTTCGTTCTCATCTCCCTCCATGACATTGTTTTAGTAGTTTACTC